GGAGAATGAACTTATGTTATATCATGTGGTTTCAAAAGAACTGTGCAAATTGAATGGAACACTAAACCTAATTGAAACAAGAGTAAAAAGAAATTATTGAATGATATCAACATGAAGGAATTAATTGACTAAGGCTTATACATAAAATAATACAATATGTAATGTGGCCAGAGTTTTCTGGCATGTAGCAGATGCTAAGTTATTATTTGTTAAATGAATCAGCTCTCAGTATATAACAGCATTTACTATACTTCAAGTTTGGCATCAATTTATTTGGAAAGGTTAAATCATTGAATGAAAGCTGATACAAATGACTATCAAACCCACAGAAATGAAGTTGTTCCTCTTCCTCAAATATCTGACATAAAATCAGAGGGATCATGATCAAAGTGTCAGAGTGATTTACATTTCAGATGAAGACCTAGAAAACTACATATAAAATCTATGGATTGGCAGAATCACCTCAAATGAAGCAGAAACTCAGAACTAAGAATATAGATGTTTCAGTAAATTTTAAACATTTTTATGGCCTAAAAGAGCCTCCAAAATCAATTGAGAAACAATGATATGTACAAATCACCTGAAATTCCAGTAGTTGCAAAAATGGACACAGAGTACTTGGAAATATAAAAATACTGGGCAAATGAATGGTGATAAAATATATGAACATTTTCTCAAACTCAGTATTTTTAAAAATAATTTACATTTATATATTTTACATCATTATGTATATTATATATAATATAGATATTTACATCATTATATCTTTCACATCATATATTATATATATTTTACATCTTTGTTCATTTTTTTTTACAGTGTTTGCTTTCTTTTCTCAGGTGTAGTCCCCATAAAATTGCCATGACCAATTTACCTGTACACCATCACCACAGTCCCTTGCAATTTTCTACCTTCATTTTGATCCCTCACCTCCCCTTACCCACAGAGTGTCTCTAATTTATAGTTTTCTGCTTATTTTTGTTATGTTTTGTTATTTCTTTTCATTGCTATAATTTCCCCCCTTATTTGGTTCCCCCATATTCCTTTTATAAGTGAAACCATCCATTATTTTTCTTTTTCTTTCTGACTTATTTCACTGAGCATAATCCCTTCAAGCTCCATCCATGTTGCTGTGAATGGCATGATTTTATCTTTTTGATTGCTGAATAGTATTCCATTGTGTATATGAACCACATGTTGATGTGTATATACCACTTGTAGATCCAATCATCTATTTTGGGGCATTTGGGTTGTTTCCAAGTCTTACCTATTATAAATAGTGCTGCAATAAATATCGGAGTGAAGGGATCCTTTTCATCAATTTTTTTGTATCCCTTGCGAAGATCCCTATGAGTAGAATTGCTGGGTCATGTGGAGCTCCATTTTTAGTAGTCTGAGGAACTTCCAGACAGCTTTCCATAGTGGTTGGACCAGTTTGCATTCCCACAGCAGTGTAGGAGAGTTCCTTTTTCAGCATATCCTCATCAACATTTTTTGTTGCTAGATTTTTGATATGTGCCATTCTTAACTGTGTAAGGGTATCTCATTGTGGTTTTGATTTGCATTTCCCTGATTATGAAGGATATTGTATATTTTTTCATAGCCTGTCGACCATTTGCATTTCCTCTTTGAAGAAGTGTCTGTTAAATCTTATGCCTAATTTTTTTACTGAATTGTTTACTTTGTTATTGTTGAGTCATGTGAATTCTTTGTATATCTTTGTGATCAATCCCTTATCAGTTGTATGCGGTGCAAAAATTTTCACCAATCACTGGGATGCCTTTTTTTTTTTTTTTTGGTTAATGTCTCTTGCTGTACAGAAGATTTTTAGTTTGACATAATCTCAGCTGTTTACCTTTTCCTTGACTTTCTTTGCTTTGGGTGATGAGTCTGTAAAGATGTCACTGAGATGTAAGTCTTGTCGTGTTTTACCTATGTTTTCTTCTATATATTTTATAGTTTCAGGTTTTATGTTCAGTTCTTTTATCCAGTTTGAGTTGATTTTTGTGCACAGTGTCAGGTAGTAGTCTAGTTTCGTTCTTTTGCATGTAGTGGTCCAGTTTTCCCAGCACCATTTATTGAACAAACTGTCCTTGCTCCATTATATATTCCTTGCTCCTTTGTCAAAGGTTAGTTGTCCATATATGTGTGGTTTTATTTCTGGGCTTTCTATTTGATTCCATTGGTCTGTGTGTTTGTTTTTGTTTCAGTACCATACTGTTTTAATATTATGTGTTTGTAATATAGTTTGACATCTGGGAGTGTGATACCTACATTCTCCTTTTTTTAAGGCTGCAAACTTAGTCTATTCAAGTTTCCTTGTGGCTCCATATGAATTTCATCAGCATTTGTTCTATATCTTTGAGGAGTGTCATTGAGATTTTTATTAGAATAGCATTGAATCTGTAAATTAAATTCCTTTTTGGAGTATGGCCATTTTGATAACATTAATTCTTCCAATTCATGAGCAGGGGATGCTTTCCTTTTTTTTTGTCCTCTTCTATTTCTTTTACCAAGTTTTATAATTTTCTTTGTATAGGTCCTATACCTCTTTTGTTTGGTTTATTCCCAAGTATTGATATTTTTTTGTTAAAATTATACAAGGGATGGTTTTCTTCATTTCTTCTACAGCTAACATCACATTTATAGAAGAAAACCTATAAACCTTTTCTCTTACATAAGGAACAATATGAGGCTGTGCACTCTCACCACTTTCATTTGACATAGGCTTGGAAGCCTTAGAGATTCACTCAGTTCAAAAAAAAAACAAAAGATATCCACATCAGAAAGGAAGAATTAAAACTTTATTTTCAGATGACATGTTATTTAATGATCAGAAAAAAATGTCAGAAGTAATGAACTAGGGGCCTCCCTGTTGCACAGGGGGTTAAGCACAGCACTGTGAAGCTATTTGCAGCCTCCGCAGCATGAATTCGATCCCTGGTTTGCCAGGGAGCAATGCCTCTGGTATAGCAGACATCTCCTATTGTGCCTTCTGGTCCCCTCAGCAGTGTATTTCAGTAGGTCTGCCTGTTCTGTTCCCCTCTCTGTCTCTGTTGCATCCTCTTACCCTCCACACCTCTGGCCTGAGCCCAGCCTTGTATGCATAAATAATTAAATCTTAAAAAAAAAAAGTAATGAACTAACTCAATAAAGTCCCAGGATATAAAATCAATATACAAAATTAGTTGCATTTCAAAATACTAAAACCAAACTGTCAGAAAAATTAGGAAAACAGTTCCACTTACAATGGTATCAAAAAGAGTAGAAAACCTATGAAAAAATTTAACCAAGCAAGTGAAAGAGCTGTATATGGATAATGTGAGACTCTGATGAAAGAAAATGAAAAGACATAATAAATGGATAGTTATTCTGTACTCATGGAATGAAGGTATTGATGTTGCTTATGTGGCCATATTACTTAAAGCAGTCTATAGATTCAGTGCTGTCTCTGTGAAAATTCCAGTGGATTTCCCCAGAAATAGATCATTTAATCCTACATTGTAATGAAACCACAGAAGATTGAATAGCCAAAGCAATTTTGAGTAAGAGGAACATCTTTTGATTATTAAGATAGAAGAACTTTCTGAACACAAAGTATATGCAGATGACCTTGAAATTGTCCTTTTCCCAGCCATTGTAGTGGTTATGACAATATTTAGAAAAAGGGAAGTAATTCCTTTAGAGAAGTAGGTGAGGTATAATTGTCGGCAACACTGGAATTTTTTTTCCATTTTTTAAAATATTTTATTTTATATAATTCTTACAACATTTTTCATCTGTGCACAATGTATGTATTTTCATTTTGGTTATATTCCCCATACAATTGCACCCCCCCTTATTTTGACTCTTGTTCTTCCTATCCCTGTCCCTCCCCCTCCCCTCACCTCGTAACACTGGAATTTTTCAAGCAAGAAAAAGAACATGATTCAATAAGGAATATAAATACCCCAAGCATTTATTCCAATGGGTACACACCCTACCACACATTGTCTCCAGTCCTCTATACTTCAGTGGACAGCATGAAAAGGAATTTTGTTGCACAGTAATCAAATGTGTGATTTAAAATTGTCTCATCACCTTCAAAACTTTTTTCCTAGCTCAAGACCATAATAGATAAATCTGTTTATTGAAATTTGATTTCCTATGTAGGCTCTACTGGAAGATGTATTTTAAAATTGGTTTGTGTCAGTGATTACGGTAGGCATTGTGCACATCAAACTAATAAAAGCAGGAGGTCAGACATAGAACACACCAGCATATTTAAGTCTACATTATCAGTGAGGTGAGTTAAGGTGCTTAAACAGAAAAGAATGCCAGAGCAAATGTGCAAATGTGGGTTCCAATTTTCCCTTATAGTAAAACTATATAAATGGGTTTCGTTGCCATTACAGTTTTTTTTCATATGTGAAACACAACTCATGACAATTCTTCAGGAAAAATAAGAAAAATATTTGGGATGATATATGTTATTTGAGAAGAAATTATTCTTAAGCTATACATAGTTCCCCACTAAAAAATTGGAATTACTGATTATTTCTTTTTTAAAATTTTATTTATATATACAAAAATTGGGGTGTAGGCCCGAAGAGTAGGGGCTAAGAGGATTCACCAGAGACAGAGTGGGGACCAGGGCAGGCAGATCTATTGAAATACACTGCTGAGGGCGAAGTGGGTGAGACAGGAGAGGTCTGCTGCGCCATGTGGGCCAGCTCCCCAGCCTGTCCAGAACTGAACTCGTGCTGCAGTGGTTGGTAACATCTTTTTTTTTTTTTTTTAATAGAGGCATGTTTTTATTTATTTATTTGTTTGTTTGTTTTGTTTATACATGCACTGGGTACAGTCAGAAGTGCGGGAGGGTGGGAGAATTCACCAGAGCCAGAGCGGGAAGCAGAGCAGGTAGAAGCACCAAAGTACACTGTTGAGGGGAGCAGGGGGCGGCAGGAGAGGTCTGCGCACCATGTGGGACCCCCCTCCAGTGGCCGGGGAGCAGCCGGGGATCGAACTGGTGCCACAGAGGCCGTTGGCAGCTTCGCAACTCAGCGCTCAACCGCTGCGCCACCGGGGAGGCCCATGTTGGTAATATCTTGATAACACTGTCTTTAACCCTGCACCACAAGGGAGGCACATATTTCTGAAACAAGTTTTGCAAAAACATTTTGGAAATAATATTGGAGAGACTGAGTATGTATCAGAGTAGAAAGCATACTAATGTGAGTTGAATATTTGTATAGGGAATTTTATTGGCTAGAGGTCAATGAAATGGAATTTCCGGATATAAATCAAAAGAACAAGTTCAGTTCCTCTGGTGTGATGACACAATAGCAATTTTTGGTTCCAAAATTTTCAGCCCCGCGATCACAGGCATTTTCTTCAGCCCCTAGACAATTTTTGTAATATAGCAGCCACTCCAAACATTTTTTTCAGAGCCCCCTTTATGTCTCTGTTCCTCAGACTGTAGATGAAGGGGTTCAGCATGGGTGTGACCACGGTGTACATCACTGATGCTATTGCACTTGAGTGTGGGTTGTGGGGAATGGCAGAGCTAATGTACACTCCGAAGACAGTGCCATAAAATAAGGAGACAACTGAGAGGTGAGAGGCACAGGTGGAAAATGCTTTATGCTTCCCCTGAGCTGAAGAGATTCTACGTATGGAAGAAACTATTTTAGAGTAAGAGTAAAGGATCCCAGTGAGGGGTCCCCCAACCAGGAACACTGTTACCACATATAACACCAAGTCATTAAGAAAGGTGTCAGAACAGGAACACTGAAGAACCTGATTGAGTTCACAGAAAAAATGGGGGATTTCCATGTTTGAACAGAAAGACAGTCGCAACACCATTAGGCTTTGTATTAAGGGATTCAAGACACCAATGCTCCAGGACAGTAGGACCAGCAGCCCACAGAGCCGGGGGTTCATGATGACCGTGTAGTGCAGCGGGTGGCAGATGGCCACAAAGCGGTCATAGGCCATTACGGTCAGCAGGAAGTCATCCAGCCCTGTAAAGAGTATGAAAAAATACATCTGGGTGATGCAGCCTTCAAAGTTTATGGCTTTGCTCTGTGTCTGGATGTTGACCAGCATCTTGGGGATGGTGGTGGAGGTGAAACAGATGTCCACAAAGGACAGGTTGGAGAGGAAGAAGTACATGGGGGTGTGGAGGCGGGAGTCTGATCTGAAGGCCAGGATGATGAGCAGGTTCCCCAACACAGTGATGAGGTACATGGAGAGGAAAAGCCAAAAAATGAGGGGCTGCATTTCTGGTTCCTTTGATAACCCCAGAAGAATAAATTCTGAACTGTGAGTGTCATTCCTTGCTTCCATGTGGGCCAGGAGATGACTAGGAAAGAAAAAATAATGATTTATTTTTCACAAATTGTAATTACTCACTTTGAAGTATATTTTTGTACTATTTTACTGTATATTTTTCTAGTGAAGAAATAAATACCAATATGATTTTATTGGGAACACAGAGTAGAATTCTTGAGGAAGACACTGTTTGTGATTTTTTTTTAACTTAAAAAAAAAACTTATTTATGCTACAAGAGCTGGGGTATAGGCCAAAAGTGTGGGGGTAGGCATTGAGAGGATTCACCAGAGACAGAGTGGGGAGCAGAACAGGCAGACTGACTGAAACACACTGCTGAGGGGGGCAGTGGGAGAGACAGGAGAGGTCTGCTGTGCCATATGGGTCACCTCCCTGGCCGGGGATTGAACTAGTGCTGCAGGGGCTGTGACAGCCTCATAGGTTGCATCTTAACCCCTTGCACCACCAGGGAGGCCCTGTTTGCGATATTTAAGGCACAAAAGGAAGTCAGTGCTTCAAGCTGAGTGAACAAGCAAGAGGGAGATGATAAGAGATGGTGTCAGAGTAGTAGAGGGAAGAAGGGGCTCCCTGCTGCTCCTCAGGCTTCAAGAGCAGACACCCTCTACCATCTGCTGTTCCCTGCATTTTAGTAGTGTTTCCAGGGAATTCCGTGAATGAAAATGAATCTCTTCCTCATTTTCACCAGTAATTTTACCCACTTGTGTCTGTTTTTAAGGTTTACAGTTTGGAGCGTGTGAGTTCTGGTACCCTTGTCCTGATAAGGAGAAATTTTCATAGAGCTTAAGAACTTATGGAATAAAGAATGTCAATAAGAGTGAAATTATGTTAAGAACAGTGGTTTCACATCAATTCCAAAGAGCACCTGCACCCCTATGTTTATAGCAGCACTATTTACAATAGCTAAGCTTTGGAAACAGCCCATATGCCCAAAAATAGATGACTGGATCAAGAAGATGTGGTACATATATACCATGGAATATTACTCAGCATTCAAAAAAGATAAACACATGCAATTTGCAGCAACATGGATGGCACTGGAAGGGATCATGCTCAGCGAAATAAGCCAAAAAGAAAAGAAAAATACCGGATGGTCTCACTCATAGCAGGAATCTAGAAAACTTAAATAAGGGACCAGGAAAATGAATAACTATAAGAAAGAAAATATTAAAATCAACAAAAAACTATGAACCAGAGACACTTTTTGGGGGGTGAGGGGCGGGAGGGGAGGGATTGGGGTCAGAATAGGGGGGTTGCAATTGTATGGGGAATATAAAAATAGAATTTATTATTAAAAAAAATTAAAAAAAAAGAATAGTGGTTTCAAACAAGCATATAAAGCAAAGTAGATTGAAATCTAAAGCAGAAGTCAGGCAGATAAAGACAAACATCACATGGTCTCACTCATCTGTGTAACTGGAGAAAACAAACAAATGAGGTAAAGTAAAAAAGTGAACTTTTAGATTAAAAACCTATTAGTGGGGCCTGCCCTGGTGGCACAGTGGTTGAGCGCTGGGTTGCGAAGCTGCCCGCTGGTTCGATCCCTGGCTGCTCCCCGGCCACCGGAGGAGGGTCCCACATGGCACGCAGACCTCTCCTGCCACCCGCTGCTCCCCTCAGCAGTGTGCTTGGGTCCTTCTGCCTGTTCTGCTCCCAGCTCTGGCTCTGGTGAATTCGCTCACCCTCCTGTGCTTCTGACTCTACCCAGTGCTTGTATAAATAAATAAATAAATCTTAAAAAAAAATAAAAAGACCTATTAGTGGGTACCAGAGGGGAAAAGGGAGTGCTGGGGAAATTGGGACAAAAGATTGATGAAGGGGAGATGGATTTTTAGTTGTCAACTTAATGTAGAATTTTCACATGTTGAGTTTTAAAGACACACACCTGAAACTTGTACAGTGCTACAATGAAATATTATTCTAATAAAAAATTAATAGTTTAATGCCATCAAGATGGTCACTGATTCAAAATTGAATTGCCAAAGCTGGTAAGTAAAACATACAAAAGAAGGGTTTTCTTTTTTCTCTTTTTCTTTCTTAAAATGTTTTTAATTGAGGTAATATTGGTTTACAATGTTTGTATCTAGAGGTATTGCTCTCCCCCTGCAGGTGTTGCTAACACACCACACCCACCACCAAACACCTGAGGCATCCAGCATAATCCACTGAGCTCCTTTCCATTTTGTTTCTCCCCTCCCCCTCTGGTAGCCTCGGTTCTACAGTAGAATTCTAGGGTTTGTTAAAGGTTTGGTTTTATTCAGCCATTTGTTTTGTTTCTCTGCATTCACATATAAGTGGATTTTGTCTGGTATTTGTCTTTTTCCTCTGTCTTACAATGCATAATCTCTTCCATTCATGTTGCTGCAAATGATAAGAGTTTGCTAAAAGAAGTTTTTTAAATGATTGAGCAGCACTAGCTAAGTTATAATTTCATGGTATTTATGATATTACAGTGACAGCTCAACCATTCCTGTAAGAAAAAATTAAGAAAAGGCAATGGAAAAAGCCAGCCTGATTGACTGTTAGATTTACCCTCACAAAAAATACAAGCACTGACAATTCCACCCAAATACATCAATACATACATTGAAAGAATTGAATGAGAAACTGCAAAGTTGTTGCAAACAGCTCCAAACCTAGTTTGAATGAATGCAATGAAAGCAGCAAGGAAAACACTCTGACTCCACAATGCAAAGGTTAAGGTCTTGCAAAGACAGTAACAACAGAGAAAACAAACGATGAACCACAAATACAGTCAAACTTACAATAAAATTATTCTGAAGTACAATGGAGCATTACTCAGCAATCAGAAAAAGATAAACTCATGCAATTTGCAGCAACATGGACGGAGGTGGAAGGGATCACGCTCAGCGAAATAAACCAGAAAGAAAAAGAAAAATACCGGATGGTCTCACTCATATCAGGAATTTAAAAAACCTAAATAAGGGACGAGGAAAAAGACTAATTATAACAAAGTAAAATCAAAATCAACAAGCAACTATAAACCAGAGACACACTGGGGGTTTGGGGGGAAGAGGGTAGGAGGGCTTAGAGTCAAAATAATGGGGGTGGGAATTGTACAGGGACTATAACCAAGATGAAAATACATACATTGTGCAAAAATGAAAAATGATGTAAAAATACATAAAATAAATAAATTAAAAAAATCCACTTAATATAAAGTGGTGAAAGGAAGAAATAAATATTGTGAAGTAAAGCTCTTTAATATATCCACCTTTGGGGCCTTCTTGGTGGCGCAGTGGGTTGAGCAGAGCGCTCTGAAGCTGTCCGCAGCCTCTGCAGCCGGTTTCTATCTCAGCCTCACCCCACCGTCAGGGAAATCCACTCCCGTCTGGAAATCCACTCCCGCTGCTCCCCTCAGCAGTTTCCTTGGTCCGTCTGCCTGTTCTGATCCGTGCTCTGTCTCCTGTGAATTCTCTCACCTCCCGTGCCTCTGACCTGTATCCCAGTTCTTGTATAAATAAATAAATCTTAAAAGAAAGGTTGAGCATGGTGCTGTGAAGCTGTCCGCAGCCTCTGCAATGCAGGTTCTATCCCAGGTGGCTGAGGAGATTCCTGCAATGCTCAGCAGTCCTCTCCTGTCTTGCCTCTGCTCCCCTCAGCAGTATGTTTCGTCAGGCTGCCTGTTCTGGTCCCTGCTCTGTCTCTGGTGAATCCTCTCACGCTCCTGCACCTCTGGCCTGTACCCCAGCTCTTGTATAAAAATAAATAAACCTTAAAAATGATGTAAGAAATATATAATAAAATTAAAAAAAACATAAATCTTAAAAAAAATACCCACCTTTGCTAGTAATTTATTTTTTTCCAGGTGGATAATCTTATAACCAAAGGAATAGAAAATACCATACATCTGTTTCAGGAGCTAAAGTTGCATGACAGCATTTGCAAGCAAGCAGTTTCTGGTCTTGATCTCCACTGTATAGGAAAATTTTTGAATATACCCCATCTTAAAAGTAAAAAACAAAACAAAACAAAAGAAGCCCCTATTTCAGTCTATAACCTTTGGTTAATAATCTATTAACCCACTCTCTTTAACTGCAAAACTCCGTGTACATACTCTTAAAAAATCATTATAGTTATTTTTTAATTTTCACTCGTTGATTTTTATAAACTCTTTGATTTCTCCCCTCAGCTGTAGTCTCTATAGCTCTCCCATCACCTTAGTCCCTTGTGCTCTCCCCTCCCCTGCTGTGTGCCTGAGATCAAGTCCAGCTGGCAAATTTTGTATTTGTTGGACATATTCTATTTTTACTGGAAACATTTCAAAATTCCCAATCTTTTTCCATTTGACTTTCTAGTGATCATTTATGAGTACCTGATCTTTGTGATGCCTAGATTTTATTCATTTATTTGTCTGGAATCATACAAGAATAATTAATTAGGCAAGGAAGCAAACAGGCAACCACAGGTGAATGTTCCTGGCCCACATATTCTCTGACCCTGTCGTTCAATCGCCACTGTGTTGGACTCACCCTGGTGGGATTTCTGAGAGAAAGGTCTCCGTGTGGAAGTCTGAATTTCCCATTGGATGGTAGTGTTGGAGACTCAGGCTGTGTTCCAGACCAGAGAGTAAAAAGGAATAAGAACTGGTCCCCAAGCTAAACCTGGCTCCCTGTAAAACAGAACTGAAACCCAAATCAAAACCATGCCCCGTTTATCTCAAGGTTACGCACTGGACAGGAGGTATTTACAGCTTCCACCTGTGCTCCTTGGCACATTTCCCTCTTGTGCCCTCTCAGCACATGATTCCCTTCGGACACTGGTCTGCATTGAAAGGAAAATTTTCTGCTGATTGCTCCCAAGAGACCAGGTTGGAGAGAAGTGAATAGTTTCTTTTGTGTTAGGTATTACTCTTTTTCCATGACCGCATTTTCTGTCAAGAGGTCTAAAAATCCTAGCACCTTATTGCTTTGGGGAGAAGATCAGGGTGAGGCCGGAGGCATGGGGGTGAAAGAATTCACCAGAGACAGAGTTGAGAACAGAACAGGTGGATT